TTTGAACCAGTTGTCCATCCAATGAGATAAGGCAAACAGAGCCAGTCGGTTGGTTCGCTGTCGGATGGTTCGCAGTCGGTTGGGCCGGTCGGATGATCCGTAATCGGTTGGCCCGCGGTCGGACCAACTGAGGTCGGACGGGGGACGGCTAATACGGAGGTCGGTCGAAAAAGAAAGTCGGGCGAAGAAGGACGGCTGATACGGCGGTCGGTCGAAAGAGGAAGCCGGGCGAAGAAGGACGGCTGATACAACGGTCGGTCGAAAGAGGAAGTCGGTCGAAGAAGGACGGCTGATACGGCGGTCGGTTGAAAGAGGAAGTCGGGCGAAGAAGGACGATTATTACGCAGGTCAGACCAAGTGAGGTCGGACGAAGAAGAATGAGACGGGCGATACGAGGTCGGACAAGAGACCAGATGGTGGTCGCTTGATGGGGCAGCCAAGGAGTCGGTTGGCCTGCAGTCCGTCTAAGGAGTCAGGGGTTATTTTGGGCGGCTGAGTAGCCGGTCGGACCAGCCGCTCATTTAAGGCGGTGAGGTTTTCAGAGGCGGTCGGCCGAGTCAGTTGAGTGCTGTAAATAGCGAGAGCGGTTGGTGAGTCGGTCAACACACGTGTCAACAGAGGAGAACCTGGTGGACGGTTGACAGCGGTTGCTGTAACCGACCAGACGGCGGTTCAAACCGTTTCTTTAAAGGGTTATTTAAGGATTCGGGTCTGTTCTGACAAATCATCTTCAATCGACATCAAATTCAAGAGAATTGCTTTTGAGGATCACCACTTTATTTTTCAGTCTGTAGTTTTATTTTTCTATTTTATTTATGTATCCTACAGTGTTTAGAGATTCCTAATCTCAGGCACTAATTATATCAAATTCGAAGATAATTTCCTATTTTCGAATTTTACTTTTTATTGTTGAAAAATTACATCAACAGTGATATTTTCAAGTATTTTCAGTCACTAGGTACATCAATTTTGGAAACAAGTTCATATTTGAAAGATCAACCAATTGCTACTCACGAGCCGTGGCATCCGGTGGCAAAGTAAAATTTCCGCGTTTGTATCTCACTAGTCTAAAGCAACTATTTCTTGATAAACATTTTAAAATGGTGTTTGGTAAAAAGCTTTTTGAACAACTTTTAGCTTATTGAACCATATTTATTTGTTTGACTGGTCAAACAATTAATTTAGGTATTTGCTAAATTAGTTTTTTGGACCCAAAAAGCTAACTTGTGAAAAGCTAACTTACCCAACGTTTTGAAATAGCTTTTTCAGTTTAAATTTTTATATTCCTTATATGCCCTTAAAAATTCATTATGCATTTTACACAAATAAATATATTTTGATTATTTATTAATTATATTAGAATATTTTATTATATTATAGTTTTACTTTTATAAATCTAAAATAATTAATTATTATATAAATTATTTTAATTGTAAAATATGTAAATTTATTAAAATCAACACAAAATAAAAAATATAAATATAAATAATTTATTTTTATATTAAAATTACATTATATAAATTTTATATTAAAAATAAATTTATTAAAAATTATAAATATAATGAACTAATCGATAGTTAACATAATAAATATATACACGAAAACTTTATTATTTTATATTTTACATCATTTTCAATAGAAAAAACTATTTATATTTTTCAATAAAAATATATTGTTTTTTAAATTTAACTATAATAAAAATAAATATTATTTTATAACACTTTTACAATTTTCAATAACTAATAACAAAAAATTTCAAACATTTTAAACTCAAAAAAATAGAATTGAATATATTAGAAAAAAAAATCTCAATTGTCATTTTACGTATAAACAACTAATATCAAAACATTGTTTTACCAAACATTATAAGATAACTGCTTCACGAAGTGTTTCACGTGAACTTTGATTAAAAACAAATATAAGTCACGTAATCTAATATAAATAGGAAGGTCTAACAGGATAACAACACAACTAGGTAGACCTATGGCCTCCTATAAATATGGTCATTTGATCATAATCAAGTAGTTCTTTGGGTGGTTGGCACTACTCGTGATAGGAGTCATGCGCCTAGACAGCACTTGTATTTGCAATCCTATACTTAACTAATCTAATATAGATACGAGGGTCTAAGAAGATAACCACACGCTTTCACATGACGCGTATTTCTTGTAATCAATTGATGAACAACTGTTGTAAGTTCATAAATTTGTTGATAAATAGAATCATTACCTTATGACTCCTCTACCATCTTTGCGATCAACTCCCATGCATCTTTTGGAGTTTTGTCCGCCAACGCTTTATGACTAGCAGCATCAATGTTATTATGATCTCTCATGCCAAGTCTTTCATAAAAGTATTGGAACAACAATTGACTAGTACTCTTGTGTTGTGGTCATTGATTACAAAGCCTATTGAACTTTTCAAAGTATTCATGCGACGCCTTTACTTTTCAAAGAAATTTCCGCAATGTTACCGCCCGAGATTCCGAAAAGCATTTTTTCAGAAATTTCTTTTTCATATCCCCAAAGTAGTGATGCTTCCCACCGGTAAATAGAATAGTCATTCCTTTAACGCATTATTCAATGAGAAATGAATGCTCTTAGTTTTAATTACTCCTCCGTAACCGTCAGAAGTTTTATGCTAGAGTGAACCACATCAAATTTCTGCAAGTATTTGTGCGGTTCCTCTCTTGCAAAGCCATGGAACAAAGACAAAAAGTATATTAGTTCGGATTGTAATTCGAAACTAGTGTTACCTTTAATGTTCGGAAAAGTAATACATAGTAGCTATGAATTTAGATTATGTGTGGCTAACTTCTTAACCGTTTGGATATATTCTCCCGCCATATCAATTTTTTACTTGATCGATTTGCTTGGTTGTAAATTCAAAATTCCTTCAACTTTCAGTTTTTTATTCCTTTCGTAATCTCCTCGCTTACCTCTCGATTTTTTATTTGCAAATCAAATTTCTTGTGCGAGAAGAGCAAAGCATAAACAATTAGTATTTAGAAGATATAAATAGATATAAATAATAAATATAATTATGATAGAAACACGAAATAAATCAAACTTCAATCCATGGAAACGGCACCAAAATTGGTAGCCTTCGGGGCTTCTAATGAAAGTTCTCTAACACTGCAAAGGTCGGGTAGCAAGCAGTGCCTAGATCGAATCCACGAGGTTCATGTAAATTATTTCTTGTATCGTCACAATTAAATATGGCGGAGGAGATATTATAAATCTAACTAAAATAAGTTGAGAAGAAATAAGAACAAGATTTCTAATGCAGATTAAACATTTAGCCCAAGAAATGAATAAGAAACCATAATAACGACTCGATCATCGATTTAAAATAACTTTATTGTTCAATTGATAAATGAGTTATAGGCATTAGATATGATCATAACGCCCAATTTTCCCTTACCTTGTTGGTGCCAATTCTACGACTGACTGACCACGTCCCTAATTGAAGAAATAAACTAAATAGAATCATAGAATAATTTCTCCGATTAAGAATAGCACAAGAAAAACTCAATTCAAATATTCAATCGATTTAGAAAAGATTAAACTATTCTATTATGCAATTTTTAGGCCAAACTTGTCAACTTATTTACCACTTTATCAAATAAGTACGAAATTACGAATGCACATGTTCGATTGGCACACAGTTGCTAAATCAATTTAAAATCTGGTCATATTAAAAAATTAAATAAAAAAATTATAGGCATGAATCACAAAAATCACACAGATCTGCATCTCACAAATTCAAATATGGAATCTAAATTTAAGCTTGGACTAAAACTAGAAAATAAGATACTCATAATTAAAGAGAACAAAAAATGATAAATTCTCCGACATAAAAGGCGGTAATCTCCCAATGGCTCATTCACTCTAATTCCCCAAAGTTAAAGTATGAATTTGATTGTGATTGTGATACTTCCAATGTCTTGATCTCTCCTTTTATAGATGAGCAAGCTTTCGGTCAACTTCTTTAATTACTCATTCTCAATCTTCATATTTACGGTTACATCTCAATCCCTATAATTCATCGATTTTAATAGATTTGTTTGCACAAGCAATCAATCTCCTTAATTTTTGAAAGTCGCATAAGATTTTTCAAAATTCTCTCAATCTTTGATTCAGAAAATAGACATGCATAGCTCAAATCAATCAATAATTAGATCATAAATAGATAGATTTTCATCCAAAATATGAATTATATTAGCAGTTAATCTACAAATATATATATATATATTATAATATATGATTCATCACCGAGTTAAGAAAAAACAAATACAAAAATTGTATTCACCAAATATATCAGAAGACCCTCACTAGGACAAGATCCACAAAGAGGTGATTGAACAAAGAATTACATTAACATAGAAATGATTGAAAAGAGAAAGAAAAGTAAAACTTAAACATGAGAAAAGTGAGTGAGGAAGAGAGATTAATTCTCAAGTTAGTGTTATCCTATATCCTATATTAATTACATATTAAAGACATCAAAATCAAAACCTTAAATTTCAATAATTCATATTTTAGATTAAAGAAATTGATGGTTCTACTCGATTAATTTATTTAATATTTTCAATAAAAATATATTATTTTTGTCATAAAATATGCTATTACACAAATTCAAACCAAGCATACTCTTGTCATTTAATATGATTTAAATCTATCTTTTACTATTATTTAATGAGTATATTTCCAACAAAAATATATTATATCCTCCCACCAACAATTATACTCTCTCCGTCCAATTGAAAGGTTACCATTTTTCATTTTCGTTCATCCCAAAATAAGGTTATCATTTCCTAATTTAGTAATTGTACTACATACTTAACATAATAAATACTCTTTCAACTTACAATATATTACATAAATGTCATTTCTTTTATATTCCACTATATTAATAGGGATTATTTTGTATTTTTTACCATAATCCAATATAATACTAATATTAAAAAACCTGACGGAGAAAGTATTAAAATATCATTTAAATTAAGATTCGAATCAAAACAAAACCAACACCTGGAGTTGCCCTAAAATTACACAAACGTAATTCCAAAACAATCTCATACACCATTTATTAACGAAAAATATATATAAACATCACAAAATCCACCAACATAAAGCATTACAACCTTAACACCATCGATCAAAACACAAGACAAAATAGAAATCAAAATCAAGCTCCTTGGACTTCCTCAGCCTCATCAACATTTTCTTGCGACGCCTCTTCGAGGGACTTCCCCTTCGGCTCCGGCACGGCCAACGTGCACAACATCCCGATCGCATTAATGCACCCCAAAACGATCAACGACGCCTTGATGCCGATGCCGGGAGGGTATCCGGCGTCCGTCTTTGTCTTGTCCGTCGACTGCGACGCGTAGAGGAATCCATAGGCCCCTACAATTGCCCCGGCCTTCCCGGCTGCGGCTGATATCCCATGGCACGTGGACCTCAGCCGTGCCGGGAAAATCTCGGCTGGCACCACGAAAGTTGTGGCGTTGGGCCCAAAGTTGGCGAAGAAGAAAGTGAAGGCGTACATTACGACGAAGCCGATGCGGTGCTCGCTTTTCTTCCAGTGGTCGTAGGGAATGGCGATGGCGAACATGAACACCGTCATGAAGAAGAATCCTACTAGCTGGATCCAGAACCGGCCGATTTTGTCGATGAACGCCACCGTGAACCAGTAGCCGGGCACCGTGCTGCATAGGGCGATCAAGGTTTGAGCCCTTGCGATTCGGAACACCTGTCGAAAGTTTCATTAGAGTTTTTACGTGTTTTCGGAGTTGTTCGTTGTTGTATTCTTTTCAAAATTTCTACTATTCAGTATTCATGATTTCCTATAAAATTATACTCTGTATGTGTCTGCCTCATTTACTTTTTGTGTCATTATAGTTAACATTGAAAATATTATTATATTTGTATAATTTTTTATACAAATATTATTATAATAGTATTATAAGACACTAATAGAAGTATTTTTGTCAATTTATTTTGATTTATATATAATAATTAATATTAAAATATCAAACGCATACAAAATAAATTGGACCGTAAGAGCCAGACGAAGAAGGTAGTATTATTTCTTTAATAAAGTATCGTATTCAAAACTATAACTAATAAAAAGAACTAACATAATTGTTAATTCCATAGATGGGCTAAGAGTTTGTTTGCTTTGTACTTTTAAATAAACTTTTACAATGTTGAGTTGTACTATTTTTAATAAAAATAGATGGCTTTTTTTTAATAAAATATTATATTAAAAAATATTTAAAAATAAATAAATAAAAGACTTAAACTTAAATACAAATCAAACAAATCCAAAATTCTATCGGTTTGTAGTTTGGTTTGGATTTTAAGATATTTATTATTTTTCTTGGAAACTTTCAATCTGATATCAATTTTTTAATTTGAAATATTAACTTATAAATTAAATTTTTATTTAAAATATTAAATCAAATAATATTTCAATTTAAATTTATTTATTCTCAAACTTGTACTATTCTAATTCAAATTTATTGAAATTTCAGTATAACATTGAAAAGTGAATATACTTATTAGTGTAAAAATATTAATTTAGGATTTGTTTGTCCTAATCTTTTTTTACCCGATACGATACTCAATATATATATATTATATATAATATTATCGTACCAAAAGTCGACAATTAATATAAAATATTATTTTTAATATTCTATACCTCCCATTAAAAGAAATATTTAAATTAAAATACTAAACAAACAAACTCTAATTTTTTTAAAGAACATTTATCAACTTTTTGCGATGAAAATTGGAAGTTATATATAAATATAATAAGGTAGAATAATTCATGTTTTAAGTTCAGATAATTTTGTTTGACTAAATTGTTTATAATAATCATCTATCTGAGAATTCGGCTCAATATCATCTGTGATTTTAAAATTGCACAAGGCTCCATGGTATTTTTTAAAAAAATATTGTACAGAATTTTTTTAAAATTAAATGAGATATTTTTGTATTTTTGAAAATATTGCATAAAATTATTTGAAAAAATAAAATAGAATAAAATTATGCAATGTTTTAAAAGTATAGAAAAATCTCACCCAAATATTTAAATCCTAAAAAAAATAATGCAAAATTTTCAAATCATAAGACGTCATAACTAATTTTGTCATTATGTTTGTCAAGCAAAACATTTATTAAACTTAAATTGTATCGAAATTTACTGGATTATTTCAACATTATTCAAACATCTACTTCAAATATTTATAGGCTATAGCATGGATTATTATTATTATAGAACACTGAACCATGGTAAAATAATTCATATTCTTTCATCATTCAAATCTATGTTCACTTCCCTGTTTAATTGTTATTGAAAAATATTCTCGTTTCTGTTTTAAGTAAAAAATTATTATATTTTTGTACTTTTTTTACTATAAAAGAAAAAAATAACAATTATTATTCACTTTTATTAAAATCAATGTTCGATCAAATGAGCATATATTTGCATGACAGAGGGAGCACTAATCAAACTCCTCCGTTGCACTCCCAACTACTCCAATAATAATAATAATAATTTTGATAAGCAACCAAAGCATGTAAGCATAAAAATTTATAATACGACCAATAATTTATGTAGTCAACTGCAAAAGCATAAAATAATGAATAAAGTAATATAGCATATGGTATTATATAGTAAAATATTAACGTACCTTAAAATCACGAATTATTTAATATTAAAAATGTTTTTAAATTAATAAAAGTATTTTTATTTTTATTTTTAATTTGTACTGCGTGTTACTGTAATAAATTAATATTCAAATATTTATGTGCAATACACAATAATATCTTCTTTTGGGAAAGGAGGAGTTTTTATTTATTATCTTACATAATTTTCAATATTCTCTCAAATCCTAATTCATTTACAGTATTATATTTTTGTACACCTATCAAAAATACATATTATATTTTTTCATATTTTATAAAATAGATTATTAGTATTAATCATATATATTCATTTATTTATCAATAATATATGTAATTTTTTATTGTCTATAATATATATATATATATGGTACTTTTCTTAAAATATAGTTCTCAAAAGATTTCGATTAAATATATGACATTTATTTTAAATGAATCCAAAAATCGTCTCATTCATACAATTTAAAACATTTTCAAAATCAAATGGTTTGTCCTTTTCCTATTTAGTTTTGTGTTTTAATTTTGGTTTAAAATTGATTTAATTTAATTTAATATTATAAGAGATCATAAGCATTATAACAAAATAAAAATAACATAGCCAAAATATATTCTCCAAGTTTGTAAAAGTATTTGAGTTTTTTTTTTTCTTTTCTTGTATAATCCTTACAAATGTTAAAATTATTTATTTATTTTGTAAAATATCATATATATATATATATAATTACTGATTAAATCCAAAATACAAGCACAAAGCTAAATAAAAAGAGAGCCTATGCATATATTTATATAAAATAATTATTTTAGAGTTAAAAATAATTTAAGTTGTTTTTTTTTTTTTGAGTTTTATTATAAATTTTTATTATTTAAATTCTTTTTTTTTTTCTAAAAAAATATCAAATCAAATCATTATTTTTTTTAATACTATTACACTACAAATTTTTATTTTATTCAAAATATCACATTAATATCTATTTATATCACTTTATACCACTATTCAAATTAAATTTTTTACTATTAAAAAATTCAACCCAAAAAATCCACACACACAAACAAACACATTATTTGGGTTTATACTAGTGTATCTCCTTGCTCAAGAACATTAAATTCAACTTAAATTTTGGTATCTATGGATTTTAATTTCATAATTACCTAAATTACCCTAAAATTATTTAAAAATCCGTTCCCTATTTAAAAACAACAACAATAACAATAATAATAATAATAATAATATATAATCAGACTCGATCATCGGTCCCATTAACATACCCTATCTTCTATCCCCACACACATAATACATATGTGTATATATTAGTGTATATATACACACATTATGTGTGTGAAGATAGAGGGATAGAGTTTATTTTTCAGAAAGAAATCTTATGAATATACAAATAACTTAATTGTAATAAACTCATAGAGTAATTGAAAACGGTTCGAACAAATACCTCTCCGACTGCGCTCATGGTCTCGGCCTTAGGGATCCACCCGATGTTCGACAAAACGTCCTTTTGGAACAAATTCTGGCTATAGAAAGCAATGTCCAAAAGAAACCACGTCGACGTTGTCCCAAACAAATGCAGCCCATGCCGCCGCACGAATTCCCTCGAAAACAACCCGAAATTATTCGACTTCCGGTCGGCAATTCGTGCGACCTTCTCCTCCTCCGCCTCCACCTCCACATTCAAAACTTTCGCCATATCCTGCGCCGCCTGCTTCGCATTTTTTGCAACGAGCGCTGTGTACCGCGCCGTCTCCGGCATTTTCATCCGCCAATAAAACGTCAGGGCTGCCGGGAGCGCCCCGAACATCAGCACGATCCGCCAGACGTAATCGGCCTGCGGCACGAGGGACGCGGCCGGGTTCGCCTTGTACGACGGCGCCGGGTACGCGTGCTCGAACGCAGAGGACACGATCAACGAGATAATCCCGCTGAACAAAATCCCGAACCCCTGCATCGCGAACACGGCGGCGATGAACGCGCCGCGGGTCTTCTTGTTCGCGTACTCGGACATGATCGTCGCCGAGAGCGGGTAGTCGCCGCCGATGCCGAACCCGAGCCAGAAGCGGAAGAAGCAGAGGGTGACGAGGACGCCCTTCGGCTCTCCGCCGAACGACAGGCCGGAGGCGACGGAGCAGACGATCATCATGATTAAGGTGATGCCATAAACTTTTTTGCGGCCCATTTTGTCGCCGAGCCAGCCGAAGAAGAGCTGGCCGAGGAGAGTTCCAACGAGGGCGACTCCGGTGACCGACGACGAGATTCCCGGCGGCAGAGTCCCCGGCTTGGGGGCGCCGGCCTTGGTGTAATAAATGCGGCCGAGGAGCTTGGCGACGATGGAGATGCTGAAGAGATCGTAGGCGTCGGTGAAGAAGCCCATTCCGGCGACGACGATCGCCGTGAAATGGTAGAACTGGACTTTGGCGACGTCGAGTGTACGGAGGACCTGGAGCTCGTCTCTCGCCATGGATGTGTGATTTCGGATTGGGATTCTGCTGCAACTGATCGATCGATTTTGTTATATTAATTAATTAATTAATTGATTGATGTTGGGGTGAAATTGTTGTGTGTATATATATAATGGCGGAGGGAAGGCCTGCCAGAATAAGCTCCGGCATATAATGAGGATATACCCTGGATTGGATTAGGAAAGTCAGCTGGTTGACTTTCCTTCATTATCAGCATATCTTCTTGTCACAATGACGACCAGCTCGCACAATTTGGCTGCAAATTCGTATATAATTAAACATGTTGTCGATGATCATATATAGGGTTGGCAGAGACGGATGACGTGGGGTCGGGTTCAAGTTTAGGTTAGCTGTAAACGGATTACAAAACCCTTAAACCTGAACATGACTCATTTACTTAAATGAGTTGATATTTGCAACCTTAAGGTGACTTTTTATCAATCGGATCAACCTGAATATGATTTGTATAATCCATTTAAGTCTAAAATTTATAAATTTTAATTTAAAACTACAATTTTTATTAAAAATTTTCAAATGCATAATATATATACATATTAAAGCAAAATATTATTTATTCATATTATGAAATCGCTATTCAAGAGTTGAATTAACAAACACTGCGTAATAATACATATTATTTTTTAATTTTTAATTTTTATAAAATTTGTCATAAATATTGAATTTTATTGATAAAATTTAAAATAATATTAATTAAATAGGCTAAGCATCAGGTCAAAATATAGACATTAACCTGACTCATTTAATTAAATAGGTTTAACCAAATTATTAATTGGATCAAAAATCTCAACCCAAATTCAACCATTTGAAGTCAAGTTAGGTTCGGATATATATATATATATATAGGAAATTGTAATGACAGAGGATATAAAAGATATGTTAGAGTTTATTGTGTAAAACATATTTACATATATGCATATGTATTGTATTGGCGGAACTGGATGTGAGTAGATGGGGCTAATTTTAAAATTTCTGAAATGATACAATTTATTTATTATAAAATAATTTTATTTTTTGAAATATCATATTTTAAAAATTTTACAAAATAATAAACTACAACAATCTTAACTACTATTTCAATATTTATTTCGGTATTATTTAAAATTGATAAGTACTCTCTCCGTTCCAAACATGGTGAAACATTTGGTTTTGGCACAGATTTTTTAGGTGGGTAGTATTAAGTAGGATAATTTAAAAATTAGGTGATGTGATGGAGAGAGAAATATATGTTTTATTTTTTTATTTGGATGATGTGAGGGGATAAAGTGTGGGGTAGAGATTAAGTATAATTAATTATTTTCTATTTTGAAAATATTGCAGAGTGTTTAAGACGTACCAAAAAGAAAATATTGGAGGGTGTTTAGGACGAAGGGAGTATTTTTTTATTAAAAAAAAAAATTATTTAAGAGAAATTGTGGAAAATTGTTCCATTCTCTTACTTGTTTTGTTGAGGTATCTTCTAATTTTTTTTTATTAAATATTAATTTTTAATTTAAAATATATCACATGAAAATATTCAAATTAATTGTTTTTTATTGGACCATATTATGCATTTTGTTATACACATAGCACCTACGAAGGAAGGTGCTACGTATTCGATATGTATACTTTTTTTCATTCCTTCGTGTTGAGGTTTTGTTTGCCTATAAATATATGTTGAATGAAACGAATGGAAAGACATTACATTTCAATTTCATTCATTCGCATTTAATTTCCTCCTGTATGCTGCATTAAATTCTCTCGCATTTGCTTCCTGCGCAATTCATATATACATATATACTATCATTATCTATATTATATTATATACTTATACATACATACACATACTACATATATATATATACTTTATATTATATAATATATATTATATACAATATATAAAATAGTGGTTAGCGGTAGAAGTAATTAATATTTCTATTGGCTAATCCTATAATAATATCACAACACATTTATCCTTTTTGCAAAATGAAAAATTGGGTGTGTTTGGTTGGAGTTTAATTTTTTTAAGATTTTATAATACTCCATCCGTCTCATTTTACCGTATCCAAATTTTTATTTTCGTTTGTCCACTTATCCTATTATTTTCTTTTTTAAAAAAATGAATTATACATTTTAATCTCATTTAAAATATTTTAATTTATAATTTTTAAATTTTAATTAGACTAATAAGTTATTTTAATCTTAATCTAAAATTATTTTTATTATATGATAATTATTTTTACTAATACATTCTTAATTATTTACTAATTATACAATTTCTAAATTCTCGTATCTACAGTAAATAGGACACCGTAGCCGGAACGGAAAAATATTTATTATATATATTTTAAAAATATATCAAATTAAATATCTTTTTATTAATTTTTATATTATATTAAAAATTATTTTATATTCAAACTCAAAATTTTACTATTTAAAATTTAAATTCAAAATTCGAACTTCCAACTAAACACATCCTATAAATTCTTTGTTGTGACGGATTTGGTTGATAATCGAATAACAAATAGAAAATGTAAAGAAGACACAAATTTACGTGGTTCACTAAAAACGAGTTTGGTACCTCCACAGACAGAAACATATAACAGATTTTATTGCAGGATTTCAGTCGCTTTGGCGCATCCCCTGGTCGTATGGTAGCATGTTAGAATTGGAATACATGCCTATTTATAACATAAGTCTATGCCAATAATATCCAAATCATATATCTAAATCTAGGATATCACTACAAAAAATTATCACTTTCGTAACGAGGTTTTTTCGTTCCTAAATTCACTTTTTCTGTTACTAATGATATTAGAGACGGAATTATGTTAGCTACGTGAACTTTAAGAACGAAATTCCGTTACAAATATACTATTTTTTTTGTAGTGTATGATATCTAATATCCAAATCATATCTCTAGGATATAATACCTAATATCCAAATCATATCCCTATATTCAAGGCATATCAACAAATCTCCACCTTGACTTGAATCCCACTTCCAAATGCATCATTACAATGCCAGATGAACAAGTGGCAAACTAGCTTTAAGGCATCTTCACCTTGACTTGAATCCCACTTCCAGATGCATCATTACGATGCCAGATAAACAAGTGGTAAACTAGCTTCAAGCATCTCCACTTTGACTTGAATCCCACTTCCAAATGCATCTTTACAATGCCAGAAGGCAAACTAGCTTCAAGACATCTCCACATTGACTTGAATTCTATTTTTAAATGCATCATTATAATGCTAGATGAACAAGTGGCAAACTAGTTTCAAAGCATCTCCACCTTGACTTGAATCTCACTTTCAGATGCATCATTACAATGCCAGAGAACAAGTGACAAATGAATCTCACTTCCAAATGCATCATTAGAATGCCAGATGAATAAGTGGCAAACTAGCTTCAAGGCATCTTCACATTGACTTGAAACCCACTTCTAGATGCATCATTACGATGCCAGATAAACAAGTGGTAAACTAGCTTCAAGCATCTCCACATTGACTTGAATTCCACTTCCAGATGCATCGTTACGATGTCACATGACAGACTCTTCCATTATGCCTCAGATTTGCCCATCGGTTTTCCAGATAGCGGCGACCATAAACCCTACTGCTTCAGCAAAGATCGCATCTTGATTTGCCATAAGCCAAAATTATTCCTCTCGGTGAATTTTTCAATCTTTACGTTGAAAGCAGACATTGTTGATCGACTTATGAAACCCTAACAGTGCGGAAATAAACAAAACCCTGATCGAAACGACCAAACTCTGATACCAGTTTGTTGTAACGGATAAAAGTTGATGATTGAATAATAAACAAAAACGTAAAGAAGACACAGATTTACGTGGTTCAACAAAAACGAGTAGCCTACCTCCACGGACAGAAATGGATAACATATTTTATTGCAGGATTTCAACCGTTTGGTCGCATGGCAACATGTTTGAATGAGAATACATGTCTATTTATAACATAAGTCTATATCAACAATATCCAAATCATATATCTAAATCTAGGATATGATATCTAATATCCAAATCATATCTCTAGATATACATAATACCTAATATTTAAATCATATCACTAGATTCAAGGCATATCAACATTCTTTGTGAATTTCTTATGAAGTTTGAAAAAAAAAAATCAAAATACTAAGATAACAATAATAATTTTTGTGAAGTTTGAAAAAAAAAATCAAAATGCTAAAATAATATAATAATAATAATTTTTTGTAAAGTTCTTATGAAGTTTGAACAAAAATATTCAAAATACTAAAATAATAACAATAACAATAATCATAATAATTTTTTTCTTTAAAAAATAAATATTTGATGAAAAAAAAAATTGAATGTAACAAAAGGTTATTATAGTATAATAATTTTTTTGAACAAAACATTTCAGCAGTGCTGTAATTTTTGAACTATAAATGTAACAAATTAGAGATTATTTAGAAACAAAAATTGGCAGTTTCGTACGGAATAGAGAGCGGAACATGTTTGGATTCTTACAAACAGAACAGCGTCGGGCGGCATTTCTGACAGCATATATATATATATATATATATATAATTTACTGTCTCTGACTGTCTGTCGGTATGCGGGCGGGCGTTCCACTACATCACTTGGAAATTAATTGCTAATTAATGTGCTTATATAATTACTATTTAATTAATATTAATATATAATCATTATTGATTACTTAATTAATTAATTGAGTATTTCAGTATGAGAAGCAACCCACATAGTGACCCAGGAAGGCAGGTTGGGTTGAGATTGAAGATTGAGATTGAGAAGAGAAGACAAATGCATGGATATAATTTAGGACATCAATTTATTAAGTATTTAATTACAAGAGATATTTATTATTATTAAGGGTTGATGATGGATACAAACAAGACCAATTTCTTATATTAATTTATTAACTAACTCCAAGTACAAACAGATTATGCAATTGTATGGAAATACCTGACTTTGGACTCTCTTAATTACGTGGGGCCCAATAACCGCGTGCCTACTAGGGTTGGGATATTATTCTTGCCAGTGCCGGGACCTCGACACCAACTAGCACATCCGTTTCTCGGAGCTCCGGGACTGGTGTTGGGTTTGAGGTTTCGATAGTAATCGCTTCCGGCTGAGGGAAAGGTTTCGATAATAAATGGACTCACTGTGCAACCGATTCTAGGTTAAGTTATTTAATTACTTTTATTATAATAAAAAATAAAT